AGTAAAGTAAATTATAAAACACAAATCAGGGAAAGGTGAACTGGATTCTAGACCGAGATGAAAAGAACTATAAGATGAGTATCAATTAAACACATTCAGTGTCACTCCAGAGGAAAATCAATATGTTTAACTTCCATCTCCTATTTCCCTCATGAAGCACCAAAGATACTTGATTACTTGGTAATATTCCATTTAATGTGTCTTCATGCTTAGTGTAGTAAGACCAATTGAGATGCAAACAAATGATGCTTATATAATTGAACCACTAAGGTAAGGAAACAGATAACCAGCACAACAAGCATCTAAAGCAATGACCTTTATACGATGTTTCCCAAGCCAACTTTACAATCGACACACTTGTAAACTTTAGCACAAAATCAAATTATCACATCCATTAAAAAGAAGCACAAACGTGAGAAACAACCAACCTTCTCGGTTTTATGATCAATGTCAAAGACTTTGGTAGGACTACTTTCAACCCAAGCCTTCTTCCCATCAAGAGTCAATGTATCCATTAACTCCTCATTGATTCAAATATCTGGTTCGTACATAAAAGTGACAGTGGCTGCAGGTGACCACTTGGCATGATCTTTGCAAATCCCTTTTCTGGCAATGGCCCTTAGCCTCAGCTCTTGCCCCCTTCGCAACTTCACAATGATAATCCCTTTAAAACCACCAAAAGTAATGTAACCCAATTTCAACAGCAAAACAATTCAACCATAACCAAATAACAATTCACATTACGGTGTCAAACAAAAGTTAGGGGAAAAGGACACATTACAATCTATTCCAAGAACAATGCCAAAATCCTAGAGAGAGAGAGAGAGAGAGAGAGAGAGAGAGATTAACATCCAGAATATAATAGATTAATAGATTAACATCCAGAATGCATTGAAATTAGTATTAGCATAGGCATATATAATATAAACGTGTTCAACAAAGAAGATGGAAGGAAATGCATTTAAATGTTTGCAAAGTCCAAGGTGAGCCAATGAGCCATTGCCACCTTTTATTACATAATAAGAAAAGGAGAAAATAAACTACTCTTCTTACAACTTGGAAAAGAAAAATGAAAAATAACAAGGTTGGTGTTGGAAAGCCATATATCCATCCATCCAGTTATGAATGAGTGTTACTGTACCTGCTGCTTCTTTCCTTGCAAATGTCTCGCCATTACTCGAAAATTGCTGAATCTATTACTTTGACGATTGTGAATTCATTATCATCTTTCATGTTCACAAAAAATACTCTGGGACCTACACGATGCTTTGTTTCTTGAACATGAATCCCATCCATGAAATGCGAAGGCATATCAATGAATGATAGATATTCAAGATTTTTGAGGTGGCGGATGCCGGAGGGCACCTGTTGCAGTTGCGGACTAGATCCAATTTCCAAAGTGTCAAGAAGGGGCAATGCCCCATTGTGCATTGTCATCAACTTTAGGCCCTTCAATTGCATGAGCCTGAGCCACTTCAGTTTCGGAAATCCTCCTTCAAAGTGCAGCTCATCACAACTAAACGCCTCACGGATAAAAAGTCGCATTAAATTGGGTAAACCTTGTAGGACTTTTAAGGGATCGTGATCCCCTGCTAGTCCCGACCAATATAAATCTAATCGAGTTAAAAGACAAAGTTCTGCAATCCAATCAGGTAGCTTCTCTAGACGCCCCATCAAAGTGAGAATTTGAAGACATTGAGGTGGAGAGGAGATATGCTGCAAATCAAGAGTTTCATCACCATTTATTGCTACTACTTCCAATGATTTCAAGTGACGCATATTTCCAATGGACACACATAGATCTTTCCCCTGTTTGTTGGTAAGTTTTCGAATTCCGAACCTTCTCAACTGCTTCAAATTCCCCACTTCTTTAACAAGGCTATCTGTTGCCTCCACAGCATATAGCTTTTGTAGGTGTACCCAACCCTCGATTCCGTATTGAATCACCACACCTCGTCGTCTAGTCAAACAAAACTCTCTGTTCTTGTCCTCAGTGTATGCTAAAAGACTTCTAAGCTTAGGAAGCTTATTGATTTCAATGGGTATCTGATGCACTAGGGAATGCTTCAAATCTAGAGTCTCAAGGTTCACAAGCTTCCTCATGGATTTCGGAAGAATCTTCACTCTTGTATTCCTCAAACTCAAATACTTCAAGTGGTACATGTATCCAACTTCCTCAGGAAGATTGTCAAGAAGACTATCTTCAAAGTCCAGTACTCTCAACAGCTTAAATCTTTTGCACAAGTTGCTACAAGTAGTAAGAGGATTTTGTGAGTCACCTATGTCATTGAAAAAACACAAAGAATGGGCACGAGAGTTTTTGATGCTACCAAAACTATTGTATGCATTGCTATAAACAGACAGGTGCCTGCAATTTTCATTGAAACTTGAATCTTCTTCCAAAAATTGAGAAAAGCTCATATCTTCAGTCCTTAAAAGGATCACGGCCTCCCGCATGACATCATGGACTTGACATTCTCTGAGTTTCCCACTAAAATCATCAGCTAATGACACTTGAACTAGGCTTCTTTGGATAAGCTCAGTCAAGTATTCTTCAGCAACATCTTCCAATGTTTTCCTTCTCTGCTCCTTTATAAACCCTTCAGCGATCCATTGCCGAATTAGTTTAGAGCATTTGATGGTGCGATTTTCTGGATATGTCCCAAAGTATAAGAAGCAAGGTCTGAGTTGGTATGGTAAATCATAATAGCTAAAAGAAAGAATTTTTGTAATATCTGTCAAATGAGGATTAGACTCCAGCTCTGAGCTAAGACTATCACGCAATTTTCTCCATTGGGACACATCCCCACCTTTGGTTTGTAGAAGTCCACTTATAGCCACAATTGCAAGAGGCAATCCTCCACATCTACTAACTATTGTAGTAGCAAATTGCTCTAACTCTGGTGGATAATATCCCTCGGTATATCGAAATGTCTTCTTGCAGAAGAGTTCCCAAGACTCATATTGGGATAATGGTTTAAGGTTGTACACTTGATCAGGAATAGCTTCTCTGCAGGAAGTAGCAACCTCACTATGGCGTGTTGTGATAATTATCCTACTGCCATTGTTGTTATCGGGCAATGCAAGCTTTACACATTGCCACAAGTTCGTGCTCCACACATCATCAAGGACAATTGCATATCTCTTTTCCTTGAGATATTCTCGGAGAGTGTCAATCAACAAATTCAAATCCATTGTTTCAATTCCCTCTGGTACAGACTCCTTCCTCACCCTGTGGAATTTTGCAATCATGTTTCTAAGTATGTCTTCGTTCTTATATGATTGTGACACTCTGATCCAAGCGCGCCAATCAAACCATTCTGTGAACCTTGGGTTGTCGAAGACTTTCTTTGCAAGAGTGGTCTTGCCCAGACCGCCCATGCCAACCAATGAACTGACTGAGCGTCTAGATGCTACCTCTCCTCCTATCGACCAATCTATCAGTTTATCTCTCAAAGTCTGAATACCAACGAGTTCAGCTTCCTCTGTGTAAAGGGATGCCATTCGCGGGTCAAATAACATATCATCAATCCTTGAAGAGCTAAATGAAGTTTGCTCTGTTGAATTGAAGCCATATTGTTCACTTGTGTGCTGGATTTGGAGGACACGTTTTTTGATAAGTTGAATCTCTGAGGCTATCTTGTGGCGCGCAAATAGCCCTCCCAAAAAGTGACTGGTTTTATGAAGGAAACCAATAAATCCACGTTTGTTACGACGGCGTGCTACATGATGTAGGTATTCATCAATGACATCTTCTATGTCAGCGGTCATCTCTCTTGTTTTTTTCACCCAAGTTTTCACACCACTGCTCCTGTTTGCCCTTTCTGCTTTCGCATCTGCATCCTTTAGGAAAGACTTCATGCACTCTAGGAGATCTTTTATACTTGTAACGTCGTCATGGATGCCTCTCAACAAATTCCCTTCTTCCCTTAACAGTGGAACCAACTTGTCAATGACAATGTTCACTGAAGTCTCTGCCATTACTGAACCAGTTTGCTATGAGAAAACAAAAAAAAAGACAAAAAAATAATGTACAACTCGCATTTGAGGATAAGTCGTTGAGTTAATTCTAAAATATGTGTTATCTTGTTCAAGACAGAGAGTAAGTAGTTATGTATATACCTGCTGTATTTTCTCTTGTGAGTTGTGGTCTCTGTCTTGACTTGCATACCCAAAAAAAAGGTCTTCAATAGCCGTGGGTTCGAAAGAGGAAACATG